AAAATATTATTTTAAAAGGCAGAACCAAATGAAAGATTCTCCTGTCATGCTGCACCTGTGTGTAACTACTGTTTCTTAAATTGCTTCCAATAAAGAAAGTTAATAAAAAAAAAAGGCAGAACCAGAAGAAATCTCTAAGACAGCCAATCAGATTGAGTTAATTTCTGTTATTTTATTACATATTATTTTTTCATTAGGTGATAATATTCCCCAAAATGTTTTCTAATCACATTTTTAGAAATTTGAAGGTTTCAATTATTAAAACTTCAAGCAAGAAAGATTCAAAGTGTGGAAAAAAAAAAAACAAAAACAGAAAGATAAAGTTTTCGCATCTGTGGAATGGAGAGCCTTTTTTGGAGCATTTCAACCGGGTCTGTGCTCCCCGTCTCCCCCTGCTGTACAGTCGCCGTCATTACAGTCTCTGAAAAAGCCTCCAGTTTAACAGTTTTCCTCTGCTGCCACCTGCTGCTCAACAAGCAGAACTGCAGAACTGCGCCAAACGTTCAAAACTGTTTCCTGCGGCTTCGCTTGATTAAAACAGAAAAATGGAAATGTTGTTATAGGAATAACCTAGAAATTAAAAAACACAGAAATAATAAATAACAGGAAAAGAAAGCAAAACAAACAACTAAGTAATTAAACTATGATGTAATATTTAATACTCTATATGACTGTGTTCTACTATTTCTATGTATACCTGCCATCTGACAAGACCTACCTGCTGTGATTTCTGATCTAATAACCTCTAAACTTTGTCCTGATTGTTACTTGGTGTTTATATGATGATGATGGTGATAAGCAGTGGTAACTGTGACTAAGATTTTCATTAAATAAGCCTAAAATTTGACTGAATCAGCTCAGGAGTGAAGATGTTGGAGGGGGATGGTTTGGAGAGGTGGGATCATGGATTCTCTGGAGCTTCCAGATAGAGAAGGAGCAGAGGAAGAAAGTGAGATTAAAGCAGATTAATGACTGTGGCTGTGCCAGAGTAATGCATCCTATTAGAAGAATCAGAACTACAGGCGGATCAAACATAAATTTAATATCTATGATGTTCTGTATTTCCACAGTAAGACCAACCACCTGTTTATATTTAATCCCAGTTTAAATGTAGTTAAGATTGATTAGAGAGAACAAACTGAACCATGTAGACTGAAGGACACAGCAGAGCATTCAGGGAGGAAACAGTGGAGAATTAAACTGAATCATCAGTTTTTAAACTTGTTTTATTTCAAAGTTCACCATATAACTTTTTTTTTAACTGTTGCTGCTTTATCACCTTAAAGTCTTTTAGGGGTTAGAGTTTTCTTAGTGTAGTTGAATCCTGAGGAATTTTACTGCAGGAAGTGACGTCATTTGAGTCTAAATCCTTGTCGGTGCGTTGATTGGCCACTAGAGGAAGCCCTTTTTCCGGCTGCTGCCGTGGGGTGTGGACACGATAAGGGCGTGTCACAGTGAAGACGAAATACCAAAATAAAGATCACATGTTGGCCCCAGCTTCTCTGTTTTTGTTTTTAGGCTAGAGAGAAACAGCGCCCTCGGGTGGATGGCCAAGAAATGGCAAAAACACCAGAGTCTCCGGACTGAACCATTCAGGCAGGTGGAGGGAGGACAGGCGAGTTAAAAAGTTTCTTTTCATCTAAAAACCCAAATGTATTAAAAAAATTATGAATAAAATGTATGTTTGGCATAATTTGGGTTAGATGAGTAGTTTAGTGGCTGTTTTCCTGCGGTCTGTTTTATCCCCTTCTGCCTGACTGGAAGTGGTTCGGTCCAGTAGTGAAGGCGAAGCTCGGTTTGTTTTCCACGACCAGGAGGATCAAGCGGACCGAACCTGCCGCCATGGCTCTGTGCGGACGTGTGGGAGCCATGGCTTTACCCAGCGAGCTCATCGTCCACATCTTCTCCTTCCTGTCCGACCGGGACAAGCTCCGCGCCTCGGCCGTCTGCTCACGCTGGAGGGAGTGCCTCTTCTACCCGGCCCTGTGGACCGAGCTCCGGCTGCGGATCGGCGGCTTCGGTTCCGAGGAGACGCCGAAGCTGGACTTCCTCATGCGGAAGTTCGGCTCCTTCGTCCGGGAGCTGCAGCTGGAGCTGGCGCCGGTGGAAGGGAACCTGAGCCCGGAGCGTCCCCCCGGCGGCCCGGAGGGGGACCCGCAGCAGCTGCCGGAGCGCTGGAGGGCCGCCATGGCCGCCTACTTGGAGCAGGTTCTCTGCGTGTTCACCAGCATCCGGAACAACAGGTAATGTTCTGCTGCAGGGAGGGGGGGCAGGTAATGCTGGCCGCCATATTGGTTCGGTTTGCTGAAGATTTGGATCCCTTAGTGGAACCGGCTGGAGTTACGTAATCATGTCAGTCTGTGAGGACGACGGAGAAGTTGGCTTCCGACTGATCACTAAAGGATCATTTCATCTTTTAAAGAAACCGCCTTTGATCTGCTCTAGATCCTAGAACCGCCTTTGATCTGCTCTAGATCCCAAAACCGCCTTTGATCTGCTCTAGATCCCAAAACCTCCTTTGGTTCTAGGAACCAGAACCGCCTTTGATCTTCTCTAGAACCCAGAACCGGCTTTGGTTCTAGGAACCAGAACCGTGTTTGATCTGCTCTAGAACCCAGAATCACTTTTGATTCTAGGAACCAGATCCGCCTTTGATCCTAGAACCCAGAACCGTCTTTGATCTGCGCTAGAACTCAGAACTGCCTCTGATCCTAAAACTCAGAACCGCCTTTGATCTTCTCTAGAACCCAGAACCTCCTTTGGTTCTAGGAACCAGAAACGCCTTTGAGCTGCTCTAGAACCCAGAACCGCCTTTGGTTCTAGGAACCAGAACCGTGTTTGATCTGCTCTAAAACCCAGAACCACTTTTGGTAGTAGGAACCAGAACCCCCTTCAATCCTAGAACCCAAAACCGCCTTTGATCTGCTTAGAATGTAGAAACTAGAACTAACTTTGATCTGCTTAGAATCTAGAAACCAGAGCTGCCTTTGATCTGCTTAGAATCTTGAACCCAGAACCGTCTTTGATCCTAGAACCCAGAACCGCCTTTGATCTGCTTAAAATCCAGAACCCATAACCACCTTTGATCCTGGAACCTAGACCCACCTTTGATCCTAGAACTCGAAACCGCCTTTGATGTGCTTAGAATGTAGAACCCAAAACCACCTGTGATCCTGGAACCTAGACCCACCTTTGATCCTAGAACTCGAAACCGCCTTTGATGTGCTTAGAATGTAGAACCCAAAACCACCTGTGATCCTGGAACCTAGACCCACCTTTGATCCTAGAACTCGAAACCGCCTTTGATGTGCTT